TACAATTTGCATCAAGATTTGTAAGAATTCTATCTGTAACAATTCCCTCGTAATTCCCGCTCATCACAGTTGACAGCTCTTCGATCAAAATCATTCTGTAATAATATGGTGCTTTCACCATACAGAGCAATTTGTGGATTGTTTCTTCTGTGATTTTTTGTTGTAAGTTTTCATGTGTGTTGTTATTCAATTTTGCTTTTTTACATTTTCGTAATCTGTTCTAGCATTCTCTTAGTTGTTTATGAAATTCTTAGTTGACATATTATTGAAATTATCTCTCAAATCTATAAGTACTTCGACCTTCGCAATTCGGCTCAATTATTGCTAAGCGGACTTTCTGCAACAATAACCTTCATCCTCTTAGTTCATTTATTTGTGGATTATTCGTTTACAATTTTTTCGTTATAGCTCTCCATGTGTGATTATTCTTAGTTGTTTATGAATTTCTTAGTTGACATTTTGGTTCAAGAAGTCATTAGACTACCATTTAATGATGAATGTTATTTTAAATTTTTTAAATATAAGTCAAGGATATGAAATACAAAAGTCTTGCATATTGTTTGCCTTGATAATCATTGTGATTGAGTTGTCAAAATGAGAAGGTAGTTTCATCATTGGACATAGTGAACCGTATATATAGTGTTTTATGATACATGCTCTGCTATTGTATATTATCAGAACTTATTGTCTATTTACTGGCCACTTAATGTCTCTGTCTGTTGTCATGTCTTCTACTCTTTTCATACTCTACATTCATTTTGTAATTACTTTTGATGTTGTGTCTGCTATTTTAGGTTAAACCTGCTACTAAATTCAAGTTAGGGGGCATGAACAAAACATCTAAAAGTTTATTGTTAAAGTCAAAGACAAAACACGCCATGTTGGGAGATTCAATTGGAAGAGCTCCAATGTGTTCATGGTGTTGCAGCTCTGGATCAACGTCGAGTAATATCGTGCTATGATTACATCTCAAAGTTTTACTTCAGACAAGAGTGGACTATTAATTATAATGGAGTGGTGCACCTTGTTGGTTATCGCTTTGATTGTGACCTTTCTCATTATGTGTGGTTCATAATGTGCAACCCACTTATATACCTCACATGTAACCCCGGCAGACCTGAAAAGAAGCATCTACCTTCAGCTTGAGAATCTATTGCTAGGTAGCAGCAGTGGTGTTTGAAGACAGAAGGTAGAAGGCCACTGAAGTACTAATTGAACACATCAACACTCTGATTCTACTCATACATGTATTTTGTCTTCAAAAGTAATGTATAGATCGACCTATATGTTCATATTCATGTGATTTGTATTGTACCTATGCATGAGAAATATTTCCAAATCTCATTTCAAGAGTTGAATCTATCAAGTTTCATAATTGGTTCAAAATTTTGTGCTAAAGTTTGTACTTATATTAACCGTAGGAATTTAATGTCTGCGCCTGAGACATTAAGGACTTGTTACTGTCTACTTATGGACAGTATTCCATAATTCAACCAACATTATAAATCAACTAAAATTAACACTAAATAACAGTGTTCAAGCATTTGATATGTCACTAAAAAACAAGATTACACATAGTCAAACCGATTGTCACCGATCTTTAGGAACAATGCTTAATGACCAAAAGAAGGAATTTTACATGTTCTTTTCTTTCCTAGGATCCTAATCATAATAATTACAAATAATCATGTTTCAAAAGAACTTTATGAATAGCTCTAAAGTAAGACTACATTTTCTACCTTTAACAACTTTATATACATATCATGTGATGTGTATTATACCTATGCATGGTAAATATATTTAAGCATTATTTCAACAATTGAATCTATTAAAGTTCATATTTTCTGTATACTTTGGTATTAAGTTTTGTACTTTAGTTGTAGGAATTTAGTGTCTTCGCAAGTGCAATTAATGACTAATTAATGCCTACCACTACTAGAAAAAACACTATTTGCTGTGATCATTTTAGGCTATTTGTTGCGGTTCGGAACCGCACCAATTGGCAGCGCTGCAAATAGGGGGAAACTTATTTGCTACGGTTAGGAACCGCAACAAATAGGTAGTTTTAAAAAAAATGAAATTTGACTTTTTGCTGCGGTTAACGACCGCAACAAATAATATTTTTTTAAATGCACAAAATTTTTTATTTTGCAAAAAGGTAAAACCTGCTTGGAACACAAATTCACATTTAGCAAAACAAATCAAATACGTAGTTTCAAAGAACCAAGTCATACACCACAAAATCAATACACAATGACCACAATACAAAACACGATTTTGTGGCAAATTTATCACTATTGTATAGTTTACAACAAATTATCGCAAACGTATATGGCGACGATACCACGGACTTCAGCTATGCCATCACTTGACAAAGGCCCATCTACTTTGATGCTCTCATAAACCTAAAATATTAAAAGTTTACAATTACACCATGTGTATAAATGTAACTAACATAGCAAAAGAAATTAAAATGATTGGAAAATTAGTAATGATATTTACTTGTTCCATATCTTGACCACTCGTGATATATTTAACGGCGTCGTATATGAATTTCATCACGTAGAATCCACACTCCAAACCGCCTGTTTGTTTTGCACACTAATACATATACATATTGACATTTTATCCACATTAGCATCAATTCACATATATAGAGAAACATAGTTACACACTTACTGGGAAAAATATACGCACTTTCATTTGTTTCCAAATCACTTTCTTTCTACTTTCACCATCATTGGGCATGTTTCTGAAGACACTATAGTTAAAAAAATTGATTAGAGAAATAATACAAGATAATTCAATAATAATCTTTTCTTAATTCATAAACCATAAAAAGCCTATACGATATAATATTATCGATGACAATTTAATTTATAAAATTATGCATTATGATATAACCCAATCGCCTAATATGATTGGTAAACTTGAGATAAGGATATATACTAAAACCTTATTCAAGAAGGCGTGTGGCGTTCGCATCTGGGAGGGGGCAGCGACGCGAGCAGCGGCTGGACGGGGCGGTGACCACAGCTGCAACTAAGGGAGACAACTGTGGCTGAGAGGGATTGCTACGACCGGAAAAGGCAACTTTCGGCGGGTGGTTTGAGGAGGGGCGGCTGCGAGATGAGGGGCGGCTGAGGAATTTGGCGGAAGGGTTAGGGGAAAAGAGAGGCTGGTCGATCGATGTATTAGGTTTTAGGACTTATTGCTGCGGTTGTCTTCTACCCGCAACAAAAAGTATTAAAAAAAAATTACATGGCAATTGCTGCAGTTACGTCATGACCGCATCAAATGTAACAAAATTTTTCTGATTTGAGGCTGCGGTTCCCAAATAACCACCGCAAATATTCTAAAATTTTGACATTTTGCTGCGGGCGTTCTTATAACCGCATCAAAAGAGGAGCATCAAATGACAAAAAATCTAGTAGTGTACTCTGCAATTTATTCCTTACTTCAAGCAGATATTACACTTGAACTCAATATCAAGTAAAACATGAACAAGCATTTGATATGACACAAAAAATGGAAATTCCGTATACTCATACTTCAAAACCAAATATTATAAATATTTATGAAGATGTCTTAATGACCAAACACATAAAGTTTTAATTTAACATGCTCTATATAAACTTCTGTTGTTTAATTTTCAGTTGCATTTGAATCTCCAAATTCCTGCTTCCAAGTTATGGCCGGCAATACCACGAAGATATAAGAGCATTCTGTTTTAGTAACTCATGGACTTCGCTGGTTGATACGAGGAATTTTCATCTTCGATTGCAAATCTCAAGTCAACTCAAACCTATCACGAAAGAAGCGGAGGAAAATCGATGTTAAAATCTTTTGGTTGATACCTGTTGATGCATACAAAACTAGTTTTGTTGTCATCTTTTGTTAGAACAACTCCATGTTAAAATCTCAGTAACTTCTCTATCAAATATTTGAAACTCTGTAAAATTTATAGCAAGCAGCCTGCAATTCCTCCTGCAACATGAAAACAATATTAATTTGTATGCCTTTTTACATGTTTGAGATGCACATGAACTGTCAAATTTATACTTTACATACTCATCTTCCTATTGTGGACTGTTACTGGAGCATATTAATATTGTTATAGCAATACTTGTGATTGCTTTTAGGAATAGTCTATTACCATCCAAAACATTTTATTTCCAACACACCAATTTACTCATCACCAAATAATTCATTTAATCATCATCATCACACATTAGTGAATTAAAGCACCCTAATATCCCTAAAGCATTATCACATGTTAAAGAATTGTAAAATGCATGAAAGTCAAGAGGCAAAATTGCAAAAGACATATTCAAATCAAAGCTTTTCAACAATAAAGCAGTAAATTTATAACCTTTATTGCCTCGAGGGGGCGGTAAAGCTAGTAATCTATTGGTCTATGGTGTCTTCTCCGTTTGTTCTTCTTTATTACCACCTTTTCTATTGCAAATTCGAAGCGTTGAAGAACAATTGCTCCCGGTACAAAAACTATTTGTTCTTCATTCGTAGGCAATATTTTCGAGCATGACTCAATTGAATAAAAACAACGAATAGATTACCTGATAAGATAAAAGAACAATTTCCATTTCAGATTGTTTTTCTTCGACTTCTTCTGTGTTTTCATTCTCCACCTCTGATATTTTCTCTCTTCAACATTTGTTCTTCTTTACCGCCTCAATGTTCTTTGTCGTCTTTCTTCATAATCAACTTTCTTTGTAGCCGACTTTCTTGGTTGCTCTTTCCGATTGTGATTCGGCCGGAAGCTATGAAAAAGGTTTAGGTTGCGAATATTTTCGCCGTTGAGTCTACGATTGTTTTCGCCGTTTGTCAATTTTTTTTGCCGGTCTGATGCTCCACGTTTGTTGATCTGATTTTAAGTAAAGGGTATAATAGTCAAAGCATGTTCACTCTTGTCCTACTAGATGGAAGTCATAATTTTAAAAAACTTGGTATGATTTGGTATTATTCTTAAAATTTTCCCATATTGTTACGCGTGTGATTTCCTTGCAGCCGCCCCTGGTTTTCTTCTTCTCCAATTCACGCCATCTGTATATATTCATCCAAAATCCCATTTCCAATGCACAGTACACAAATTCCAGAGCGAAAACGAATAAAAAGACGGAGATAAACCGTCTCTTCCAACTGTTTCACACACATACTATGGATACTAAGATCGGAGCCGTCGAAGCTTCATCTAAGCCTTCCAGTGGCGTGCTCGGCAGTATTCCGACCAACGGTGCAGTTACCGTTCACGCCTCCCCCGCCCCCTTCAACTCAGCTGAGGCTACTCTAGGCCGCCATCTCGCTCGTCGGCTCGTCCAGATCGGCGTGAAGGACGTCTTCAGCGTCCCCGGTGACTTTAATCTTACGCTGCTTGACCACCTTATTGCTGAACCCGGGCTCAACCTGATCGGCTGCTGCAACGAGCTCAACGCCGGATACGCCGCCGACGGCTACGCCAGGGCGCGCGGTGTTGGAGCGTGCGTCGTCACTTTCACTGTAGGAGGACTTAGCGTCCTCAACGCCATTGCCGGCGCGTACAGTGAGAACCTTCCGCTGATATGTATTGTCGGGGGTCCCAACTCGAATGACTACGGGACTAACAGGATCCTCCACCATACCATCGGGTTGCCTGATTTTAGTCAGGAACTCCGTTGCTTTCAAACCGTCACTTGTTATCAGGTCTGGCCGTCATTGATCATCCTGAATTGCTGATTATATGTTGATTGATTGACTGATCATCATGTTAACTGGATACTCCAAATACACTATTGTTAGCTGATCATTCGGATTATATTGTTTATTTATGAATATTTGGTGCGACACTACTCTGGATTGTTATTGATGACAAATTTGTTTGTTTAGGCTGTGGTGAACAATTTAGAGGACGCACATGAGTTGATCGATACAGCAATTTCGACGTCATTGAAAGAGAGCAAGCCCGTTTACATAAGCGTTAGCTGTAACTTGTCTGGAATCCCGCATCCTACCTTTATTCGAGAACCGGTTCCATTCTCACTCTCCCCCAAGTATGATCCGTCTTAGCTTTCTATCTTTTGTGTTCGGTCTTTTTATTTATTTTTTCCTTTCAACAAAATTATAGGGAGTAATCAGCATCTTTGTTGCTAATTAAAATTATACTTCACTTCTTTGGGGTTAATCAAATAAAAATGATGCAATTTATTTTCATGGAAAAAAACTGTTAAATTTCTTAGATTCTGATATGCTCTGTTGTGGGAATCATAGCTGTCTGTGCTCAGTAAAAAAAACAAATGAATGCGGTCATGTTTTGTAATGTTCATTTCTATGTTATTGTGTTCCATTTATTCTGCTATTAATGAACGGGATCAAGTTTTTCATGTCTATTTCTATGTCATATATATAGATTGAGTAATACAATGGGTTTGGAGGCAGCAGTAGAGGCAGCAGCAGAGTTCTTGAACAAAGCAGTAAAGCCAGTGCTGGTTGGAGGCCCAAAAATGCGTGTGGCAAAAGCTGGTAATGCTTTTGTTGAGTTGTCGGATTCTTGCGGTTATGCAACGGCAGTTATGCCCTCTGCTAAGGGCCTGGTTCCTGAACACCATCCTCATTTCATTGGAACCTATTGGGGAGCAGTGAGCACCTCCTTCTGTGCTGAAATCGTTGAATCCGCTGATGCTTACTTGTTTGTGGGACCCATATTCAATGACTATAGTTCTGTTGGCTACTCCTTGCTTCTCAAGAAAGAGAAGGCAATCATTGTACAACCTGATCGCGTTGTCATTGCCAACGGCCCTGCATTTGGCTGTGTTCTGATGAAGGATTTCCTGTGTTCACTTGCCAAGAGGCTTAAACGCAACACCACAGCTTACGAGAATTATCATAGGATTTTTGTTCCCGAAGGGCATCCTCTGAGGTGTGAGCCAAAGGAGCCACTAAGGGTGAATGTTCTTTTCCAGCACATCCAGAACATGCTGTCTGGTGAAACTGCTGTAATTGCTGAGACTGGGGACTCCTGGTTCAATTGCCTGAAGCTCAAATTGCCTCAAGGATGCGGGTGAGCACTACAAACCAAATAATGCTCTACTATCATCATGTAAATAGTCCACTTATGGTCCTATACTCAGCCGCCACTTTGGTTTTTCACTTATGGTGCACACTCACAGATTTTGTTGCCATTTTTAATCATCTAATCACTTGGTGAAAATCAAATAAAATTTGCCTTAGTAAGTGATCTGATGTACCAAAAGTGCCAAAAAATCTATAGTGGTGCACGTAAGATGAGAAAAAGGAAAGTAGGAAAGTGAAAGGACCTAATAGTCATGGGATCAAAAGTGTAATAATTTCATCCAACTTCATTCACACAATATGTATTCCCTTCTCCAAACAAAAACAGAAATGCAGGTTTCTGCTTTATTGCCAAACTGTCACTTAAATATTCACTCCGTCGGAGATTGAGTTTACAGGTACGAGTTCCAAATGCAGTATGGGTCCATTGGTTGGTCTGTGGGTGCGACCCTTGGGTATGCACAAGCTATACCAGATAAGCGGGTGATAGCTTGCATTGGAGATGGTAGCTTTCAGGTAAACTTATGTTTAATATTTCACTTTTTTGTTTGTTTGTAGAATGAACAGCAAATGTTATGTATTTCTTTTTACCTAATAAGCAATGACACATATTCTTTGAGTGGAATATTCGTAGGTGACAGCTCAGGATGTGTCAACAATGTTGCGTTGTGGACAGAAGACTATAATATTCCTGATAAACAATGGTGGTTATACCATTGAGGTTGAGATCCATGACGGACCTTACAATGTCATTAAGAACTGGAATTACACCGGACTCGTTGATGCAATCCACAATGGTGAGGGAAATTGCTGGACAACCAAGGTCAGTGAAAAATAGGAAATGTTATTAAAAAGTCAATTTTTTTACATATTATTATATGATCAACAATTCTTAATTTCAGTTTAGATAAAATAAAGCAATCAAGTTTGAGTGATTTTTACATGTTATTATAATTCTTTACATATTATTATATGATCAACAATTCCTAATTTCAGTTTAGACAAAATAAAGCAATCAAGTTTGAGTGATTTTTATTTCATTTCTACAGTATATATCATGATACAAACGGACCCTAATAGTTTGACGATCACAATGATTTGTAGGTGTTTTATGAAGAGGAGCTGGTGGAAGCAATAGAGACAGCAAACGGAGCAAAGAAGGATTGTCTGTGTTTCATTGAAGTGATTGTGCACAAGGACGATACAAGCAAAGAGCTACTGGAATGGGGGTCTAGGGTTTCTGCTGCTAATAGCAGGCCTCCGAACCCTCAGTAGGTGGTAAATTAAGTGACACTTAGATGTTGTTGGAAATAACCACACACTTGGTATTTCATGGGGTGAGGACTTGATTTTCTATCTTGACGACCAGCCATCTTATTTGAACTTTCCTTCTTCATTTGTGAATGTAAAATAATTTAATACGAAGTTCATATCCCTTTGGCTCGGATTTTTTTTGCAGTTCTATCACAATAACGAGGGGGGTAGTTTCTCTATTATCCTGAGTAGGAGCTTAGAAGTTTCCCTTCTCTAGTTGATGATGAATGTGTAATCACTGGAGTGATGTTTAATACTCTGTATTGTATGTTCAAGTTGGTATATTTATATTTTGACTTGCAATTTTGCTCAATTATTATCGAATTTGTGTACGTGGGCATGCTAAAGTAGGGATGGATTCGGGCCGGGTCGGGGCCGGTCGGGCCGCCGGTTCAAGAATAGTGGGCCCGGGACCGGCCCGATGGTTGGACGGGTCCGGTTCGGGCCGGGCCACCCGCCTGGGTCACAGGTCGGGTCCGGTTCGGGCCGGGCCGGTTATTTTATTTTTTTTTAATTTATATTTTGTAGTTTATAGTTTTATACGAGTATTAAAAACAAACTTCAATTGCATTTATTTGAAATGAAATAGAAACTACATTTGAAAATTAAAACAAACTTTAAGAGAGAAACATTTTGAAAATTGTAATCAATCGGAGCTTCCCGCACCTCCCGATCCTTTAGCTTTGTCACATGACTTCATTTGCTTGATTGCCATCCCGAATCCGCCTGAAGCCCCCATGTTACATTTTTTCTCGTACCATTTGCAAATTGCGTACCACATCCCGGTCTTCGGGTCCTTCTGCTTATCAAAATTATACCGTATAATGGCATCTCGATTTTCCATCTTAACTTCTTAAGTATAAACTATAAAGTAGATATATAATTAATAAATATAATATATTGGAGAATAAGAGAATTAGAGAGTAGAGAGTTAAGAATAGGATTTAGGAAGAATTGGAGAAGAGATATGAAAAAATGTTTAAGATTAGGAGTATTTATAGGTTTTTTTACCCCCCACCCCCCCCCACCCCCCAACCCCCCCGGACCCCCCCTTTACCCCACCCAACGGCTATATAGCCGTTTGGGTTGTCCCCAGCCCCACCCCCAAGGCCCCAACGGCTAGTAGCCAAACCAAACAAAAAAAAGTTTTTTTTTTAAAAATAGACTCGGACCCGGGCCGGGTCACAAAAATCCAGAACCGAGCCCGCCCCCGCCCCTTCCCATCGATTCGGGTCCATACCCGGTCCCGGACCGCCCGACCGGGCCGGTCCCGGACCCGCACAGTACCGGGCCGGGCCGGGTCACGGGCCGGGTGGCCTGAACCGAATCCATCCCTATGCTAAAGTAAGGGAGTTTATGTTTTAGTGAGCTATAAAGCAAATGAAAGTGAAACAAACAATAATCGATCATCTCATCATCATAATTCATAATTCACTTGAAATTAACTTCTTTTTATAAACAAAATTTGTACACACTTTACATACCTATACATACCTCTAGTTGCATGTGCACATATTTAGTTCATGTATCAATTGTTAGTGTATATGCACAAATTTTGTGTACATCAAGAATTATTGTGAAATTAAATACATCTCCTTTCATGAGATTTTCCTAGAAATCAATCACTAAAATAATGCAATTTCTCCTGGTTAAATAGGTTCTTTTGATGTCTTCATTTTATGTGTTCTTTTATACACTTCAAAATTGATACTTAGTCTCTTTAAAGAAAAGGTACTCTCCCTATTATATACTACTCCTTTCGTCCCGCTTGATAAAATTTATGTGATTGTAAATCATTCTTCTTTTATTCTTATTTTATTAATTTAATAGTAATCACATGAAGTCATTTTTATTAACAATCCCATCACATTCTCATATCCCAATATTAAATTATACTCCCTCCGTCCCCTTTTAAATGTCTCGTTTTACTATATTGGGATGTCCCTATTTAATTGTCTCATACCTTATTTGATAAAGTTTATGTGGCTCAAAATCATTCTTCCTTTATTCTTACTTTATCAATTACTATCAACCACACAAACCCACTTTTCTTAAAACTCGTGTCACCCTCTTTCTGGACATTTAAAAAGGGGACGGAGGGAGTATTTGTTTCATGTGAGAGATAACTAGATGAGGTACAAATCTTGTGAAGACATTATGACAAGAATATGAGCGTATTTCCACTTTCCAAATGATAACCGCATCATTGTTGTTTAATTTAAAAGGATGTGAATTGTACACTGTGAAGTAAGCATTTCTAAAGCATATAGTATCGTATATGCGCAATTTGTTTTGCGAATATATTCCATAAGTTTCTAGAATATATGCGCAACAACTTCTACGCAAAATATGGATGCACCAAATACGATACATGCGTGTCATACTAGTACATCTAAAGTAAATAAAAGGATTATGAACAAGGGAGGAGCCTATCAGCTACTATCATTTTGGAGCTTACTCAGTTTGGAAACTAAACGGCCATTATGAAGCAGGAAAGAAGGGAATGGGGCATGACATAAGCTAACATGTGCCTTAAGCCGTGGAATGTTGGGATGGACACTACGACATCTATGGCACCTTAATTCCATTGCAAGAAATTTTTCACTATCATCCTGCAACATAGCCTTTCCATTTGCACTGACTTCCTCTATCACATCAACTGAATCCCGGAAGAACGGAGAGTTGAATGAATTCCAATGCTTTTTATTCTTCAGATACTTCGAGTTGAAGTCTTGGCTAATCACATGAAGATGCAGTTGTCGCATTGAGGGAACCTGCAGAAAATGATTTACTCTATGAATACTATTATCACAAGTGTCATTCTTAAATTCTCTTAAGAAGAGCTTAAAGTGTTATTTTTGTTGTTAAAAACACTTTCCAATTTTCATACCGAACACTTATTCTCTTGGTAGCAAAAGGTCTTTTCTTCCTACAAAAGTACTAGTTTCCTGAAAACAAGTCATCCCAAATGCTCTCATAGAATAAAAGTGGGGTGGGGGTGTAAAGTAGAGCAACAGTCGTTGTAAGACCATACCGAATGGTATCCAAGACGGAATATTAATGACTCATTTTCATCCAGAAGCATTTCTGCCCACTTCAGGCCAACAGCATGCATTGTATTAAGCAATGGGACATGCTCTTTACAAATATCTGACAGTCGATCAAGGCCTTCAACTCGTGCCAACACCAATACGTGCTTTTGAGCCTGCCACAAGAATGGGGTGCAACTTTAACAGGCACTTTTCAACTCGTTAGGAAGGAGGAAAATATGGAGGTAAATTTTGGAAGGAAAGACATTGTCCCTTTTGGGAACAAATTGAAAATAATAGAAAGGAAAAGAAGTCTTATTTTCCATTCTTCTTACATTGAAAGTGAAGTTCACTACTGATGATACAAATTACCTTTTAGTCTACTCCCTACATTTTCAATATTGTGTATGCTAAGACCCTAATTTCATGACATTATAATTTCATAACCTTATAACTTTAAATTCCTCTAAAGCTAATTATTCATATCATAATAAAAAAAAACATGTAGTTCCCTTTCTCTATTTACCCTTAACCCAAACATAAGTGGTGATAATACGTATGAAAATTAAAACTTTTTTTACTTTTCTTATTTTCCTCTAATTCCGAAGAAAATTCCCGAACAATGCCGCAAAGGACAAATGACTGCAGGAAGAAGGGAGGAAAGGAGAAAGTGAGGGTGAAAGAGAGTAAGTAATAACCTTGGGATACATATCGTTCAGAACCACAACATCACTCGTTGTTTCTAAGACATCATTCTTGTGCTTTTCAGGATGCATGGCAATGTCATAAAGAGCTTGTGCCCATGATCCCCAAGTTTTGCTTGCATCTTTTTTCTGGAAGCAGTTCTTTGTGTCAAGAGGACACCCAGTGCTGGGATCTACTTTCTGAACGCTTTTATGTTTTTTGCTAGCAGATTCAAAGTCAGTTTCCCTCTCAAACTTCTGCTGATCACTATTCTGATATTCTCTGCCCCGTTGATCTTGCAGTTTAAATGAGTTCTCCTTGGAGAAGTTGTCATCGGCCCTGAGTACCACTGATGCAAATCCATCAAAAAGCGATGAGTAAGCTTCAGAAAGAATCTTGCATCCCTTGACATAGTCATTGTTTAGACAATTTGGTCTCTTGGGATTCATATTTGGTCCAACAACATGTATGACGTGAGTGACGCCTTCCCTAGTAAAGAGGGGTGATGTCAGCGGAAGGGGAACCACAACAGCTTTTCCGGGTGATAAGGATCCAATTCTTTCCTTCGTTGCACTTTCAAGTGCAGCACCCGCAGCATTAAATATAGCCGCATTTGTCCCTCCTCCTCCTGGTTTAAGTCGCCTGCAAAAAACATATGTTTACATCCATTTCAACGAGATAATTATTATGAAAATTCAAAAGGTTTTAATATGCTTTAATTCCTTGCAAATAGTGTTGCTTTTGTTTTAGCTCCCTGCAAAATTATTTTTATGTTTTTTAACACAGTAGTTTAAGCTATTTTTTCTTCATTCCTTTTACTCTACAACAACCTCCTTTTAAAAAAAGAAGCTATATCTGCAAGATGGGAAACATACTTAAGCCAATAAAGAATCTTCGGGTTGTATAATTTTACCAGTTGGCAGCATTAGCAATTACATTGCAGCGTAACCCTCCAACAGAATGTAGCTGAGTGATATCACCAACAAACGTGAAGAACTTATTAGAGTCAATGTTCTTCTTTGCGGCTTTTGTCCTGACTAGGGAAAGTATTTTTGAATTGTTTGACAAATCCACTAAAACAAGCCTAGCGTTTCCAAGTCTAGGCACAAATTCCTCTACTTTCTCAACTATGATGTCAGATGCCTTTTCAAGATTAAACTGGAAATCTGCTGTAGAAATAGAAGGGAATGCTAAGGTTGGAACATCATGAGAAGAACTGTCCATGCAAGTAGTGCTAGCAGTTGCTGGTTCTTCACTGCTCTTTGCATCATTGGAGGCAGGAGGTGACGTGGATGCACTATTATCTCCCACCGGATCTACTTTCTTAAGGAACTTCATTATACCAAGTTGAATCTTAGCATTTGGATTCCTCTGACCAAAACAGCCTGATGGGAGTGAATCTGAGGGATCAAGTCCAGAGTACATATCAATAGCAGCTTGAACCTCTTTTTCATCATGACAGAATGTAATCCGTGTGAATCCTTCACTCAAATTGGGCAATTCTTTCTTTTGAAGCATCTTATTAACAACTGCAGCAGATTTACCACCCTGCAAATTTCCTTCATGCCCAATGCGTTTCACAGACCGAGATATGCATATCTTTGATGGAAGATCAAGAACCACTGCATGCTTTTCAACCACCATTGAGTCACGACCAAGTTTCATAAAGTCTGAACGTTGTTCTTTATCCAAGTTGCACCTGTCAATGAACACACTTCTGCCTTGCTCCAATGCACGAGTTGCACTCATCAAGCATTGTGCCTTTGTCCCAGCCTTTCCATTCCCAATTGTATCCTACACTACCGTAAACAAGCTGCATGTTTCATTTCAGTTGTCTTTTTTCTATTATTTCTTCGTCCATCGTAGCTTATTTGTTGTTTTAGCCAATACTTTTTGTTCCAAAATAATTTTTGTTGTAGGACTCCAATGGTATTGCTTTCCAAAATTTTCCCTTATTGATTTTTCCCATATTAAACGATACTTCACCTTGAATATGTAACATAAGAAGCAGTTATATTGAACTTGTATAGGGATAGAAATGTCATTTTGCAATATTTCATAATATGTGTGCACTTGACTAAAACTTAATTAAATTGAGACAAATGGAGTATATTACTAGACGGCTAGACCTTTCTACTTAAATGGGTGTGCCATGTCTCCTGAACTTCTTAGACCCATTTAGCCTTTGTTTGTTTAGATGCATGACAAAGTAAGAGTAGAGATAAATTTCGTTTTTGGACCTACTCCAAAGGACGAAGAGAAAGAAATTCCCCCTACAGTACAAACTCTACCTCATATAAGGATATATGTGCCGTTACAAACAAAAACAAAAACTTTTCTTTCTCTACTTCTTTCCCACTTCTCCCCATCCAAATAACTCAAGGCATTTACCTATTTTCCACTCATTATATGTTTTATAGCTTCACTCGCACTTCTTTCTTTTCTATTTCTTCCTTCACAATTTTCTATTTTATTCAAACTAAACAGTACGGAGTGGTATTTAACTACATTCTCCAAGCCAATAGTAAAATACAATGAAGAAAACATTCGTTGGAATCGTTGCCACACATTGTACATACCAAGTTAGTTACACAAATGAATTTGAAACCTAAATTACAACTTACAAGAAAAAGTGAGCAGCGCTGAGATATGCCAGGTGTGAGTAATAATGGATTTCCCAGTCAGGAAATTCGTAGAACATTTCAAATACAATAGTTCATTGATACAAGCATAGATGAAGATGAACCATCAAGAGAAAATGTCACAGTAGGTGAACCTGGCAGATACGAACCCAAGGGCGAGAGGATGCCCTAATGACCTGATCGCAGAACGTAGATTTCCCACTGCCCGGTGCACCCACCAATATCACCATGATTGCTGAACAGCCCTTGTCTTGTACTCCTCCACTTTGTCCTAGTTTCAGAAACAGAGAATTTAAGTAAGATATCATAAGGAAAGTAAACAAATTCTTTTATCAATCGGAGCATTCAATGACCTCCGGAATTAGCGTCCTGATCAATATCCATTTTCCCGTGGCAAATTTGTTCCAGGCGTAGACCGATGTTCAACAGTTGCTCAAGAGCTTGAGAAACATAAGCATTTAGGCCCGTGAAGGCTACGGGCCTATGGGTACGATTGCGGTAAACTATTTGGAAATTTTCACTTTTATTTTCTTTTCACTTTTTTTTTTAATAATCCAGGTGTTTGCGCTCCTCTAATCCTAAAATCTATTGACTATTATCCAAAATTCCTAGACAGTCAAATCCGTATTTGATCACAGTTAGCCTTCATCGGTACTGCTTCCACATGACGAATCAAGCAGGACTTCCTGTCAACTGAATCCAGAAGGATTCTCCTATCATGTAGGGCTTCCTGTCAACTGTATTCAGAAGGGTCCTCCTAACATGCAGAGCTTTCTGTCAACTGAATCTAAAAGGGTACTCCCACCACGTGAACTCATTACCTAAATTTTCCATCCGCTTCCTTCTAAACCGTTGTGCAACTCCGTGAAGGTAGGAAGAATCATTGGGAGCAATACCTCCGTCATCTTCCCTATTTGTGGCTAGGTAACCTCCCTGATTTACGCTATTCTTTTCACAAATAGCCGCTGCTTAACCCCATGTTGTCGTGTCTCTTACGTGGCTAGGCTTACGGAGTACGGAGTATGTAGCCTTAAAGCATCTTCAATGCTAAAACGGTAACGGTGCCTATGTGGTATGAGAAATAACTAATTAAAAACAATAAATAGAATATCTCTCTCCTTATTTGAAGGATCTTACATCATTTTGGTAAGTTTTTCTTCACAATGTCAAGCACAATGTATAGATGTAGACATTGTGATTGACATTACAGAGAAAAACTTACCAAAAACACATAAGACTGTGAACAGAAGGAGAGAGAAATGTTAAAAAAAAAATATTTTGTATCTATCTCTCACATGTCACATGTGTACCGTGCACAAATGTTCTTAGGAGCCTAGTAATTTTTTAAGAGTTAGCGTGCGTACGTCTTCAATAAAATGAAAGCATGTTACTCCACATTGATAAATTAATAGAAATTGTAGGGTTTACTTTTTTTTTTTAATTGAGGACTGGATATGTAAAAATTTTGGATAAAAAGATGAAAATATTTAGAGAAATAATAAGATTCTAAAATTATATTTCTAAAAGAATCGGAAAAAATAATATTCAAAAAAACTTCAAAAATAATTGAAAACATGTGGCTTATTTTTTAAAAGAGAAATTAAATGAGAAGTGTAAAAACGTAAAAAACCTTGTGAATACTGTTGATGATGCCACTATACTTTGCTCTTGTACATTGTGTCTTATTTACTTTAAGTTTTAGTATTCAAAATTAATCATATAGTGACAAATCAATGTACAATTTTTGTGACTAGTAACTTATACTGGAAATTAAAACTGCAATAAGGTAATTTTTATTTACCTTAATAGGATATTTAAATCCTACCAGTATAAATTTATTTAAACACAAAAATTAAATTGTCACAAAAATAAGGTCACGTAGGTACGAAAATCATATACATTGCATGTGTACGATTGAAAACAAAATTTGACATGCATTTAATGCTAAAATCGTACAAGGGACCCAGAGCATTAGACGCACACAATGAATCATCGAATTGATCCTGAAGTGATCTTTTAGCGGCCAATAAGTGAAGAGAAAGGAAATCGTCCAGATCTGCTCCAGCACAAGAAGACAAAGGTCAACACATTCAACGACAGAGATGGACTCATCTTAACCAACAAATGAGATCAATCAAACTAGAGAAGCCTATAAATATAGGTTGGAGCATGAGTTCTAAGTAAGTTTTTGAGTCTTCAAAGTAGAGAAAATCTTACTAAACATTTAAGAGATATCTAGCAAAAGAGAAAGTGTCTGTTTAAGTTTGCTATCTGCTTAGACTTATGCTTCACTAAACTTCTGAGTTAGAATTTATCATTGCTATATTCTGGAAGTTTAGTTCTTAGTTGGAGACCAGTTTTCTTGTTAATCACAAAAACAGTTGTAAACACTTAGAAGGATTTTGTTATCAAGTCCTAAGTGTGAATAGATAGATAGAGTACCTTTTGATCCTCACTGGATCAATTGAGAAAATTATAATGGATTGAGTAACTTGGAGTAGTGTGTGCTCCAAAGTGAAACACATTCAATCTAGGCCAGTTTGTTGTAAAGGCTAAATTGACACTAAGTATATTGGGCTTAATACTTTAGTGGAAATCCATCTGAAAGAGGGTGGGACTGGACATAGGACCACCTCTGACCAGGATACATAGTGTGTTGATTTACTTACAGTCAACAAAGCACACACCAAGCACTTAGAGTAATTAAGCTAACTGCCGGCAGTAACCTAAGTAGTTGCCTTACATTACCCAACTGCTCAGCCCACTGCTCACATACACTCCTTCTTTTGAACATCTCAACATCACAAGATCCTCATAACATCATTACCAAGAAGTTTGTTCAAACTGATTTCTGAAAATCATCCTGTAAACTCAGCAGGTGCTTCAGCAGTTCCCTGGTGGCCACCCAACTGCTTAGACCACCGCTCTCATAAACTTCCACTTCAATTCAGTTTAGCACATTCCCAGAAAGCTCTCATCATTCTCACTAAGATTATACAATCAACTTTCTCATACTTTCAGTTTTCTTTAAGCAGTTGCCTCAGCAGTTCCCTGTTGACCACCCAACTGCTCAGACCACTGCTGTCATAAACTTCCACTTTTAACTCAGCTCAGAACATTTCCAGAAAGCTCTCATCATTCTGAATAAGATTCTATAATAAGTTTTCTCATATCTTCATCTTTCCTTAAGCAGTTGACTCAGCAGTTCCCTGCAGTCCCCTCAACTGCCCAGTCAACTGTTCACTCAAATACATCCAAACTTCACGTAAACACAGAAAGTTACTATACACTATCTATTTAGAGGTCAAGACTTCCGATGTGCATCTACAATCTCTCAAAAGATTGTTGATCATTCTATCTAGCAGGGAAAAGTTTTAAAAGTTGAAAAAGTTTTAAAAGTCTATTAACCCTCCCTCTAAACTTGTACCTCTATCAGGGACCATCAAATACTTAACTCAAAAGTAAAAATAAAAAAACTTAAAATATTTTAAAATGTGAGAAAGTCTGTAAAAGAGTACAAATTATGTTATTTAGTAATGAATTTTATAAAGTCCTTAATATAGTTTTAAAAATATTTAAAACCATTTCTTAGCAATTAAAAAAATTGAAAAATATTATATAAGCATTGAAGAGTAATATTTTGTAAGAACCAGAATATATTACTAAAATCTAAAGAAAAACTAAATAAAGATAAGCATTTATAAGAATTCGAAAAAACCATATTAAAATGTCTAAAATAGAAAATTTAATTATTATGCACTTTTATTATTAGTATCATTTTATTGTTAGTTTTTGTTATTTATTGTTTATTTGTGTTTCGCTTTGTTGATAACTTTTAAGATTTTTGTTTTCTATTGTTTCTACGTGTTTCTTTCTATTTTTATTTTCACAAATCCAAAATTCTCATTTTAGGTGATCGTACATAAATTTACATATGGCTTTTTTATTGTAGTTAATTAGTAAATTAAAAAAAATAAATAGACAGAAAAAATCAAACTAAAAAAATATAAACAATAATAAAGCGTACGATGCAATAATGAGCAACATGATGCAACAACAAACAACAAACAACACCAACGCGATGCAACAAAAAGCAACATATACAATAAAACAAGAAGCAACAAATATAACATACATAACTTTTATAATAAATATATAATTCAATTCATTACATGTATCAATAAATTATTTAGCTTTACTTCTTGTCATTTCTTTTCCTTTTTTATGCATCTTGACACATGGTTCTTGCGATTTTGCTCTTTCCCATCGATCACATCACTGCGATGTGCTTCTTTTATGCGCCTGCAATAATAATACAATCTTTATGACACCAATATGTCAACAAAATAAGCATTGAACGAATTTCAATTTGTTCAATTGAAAGATATCATTCAAGTGACTACTTTATTCATTTTCATCCATTTCATATTTCTTTGAAAGGATTTCAAGTTGTATAATGAAAAAAACATTGAATTACCTAATGCCTCCAACAAAAGGTAAAATGCATAGGGCCTTTGATAGAATCCAACTAAAATATGTTTATTCTACACTTAAGATAGAATCAAAACCAATCAGTTCTGATTGAATTACTGATGACACCCCATCCCTGAGGGTCCCCAACCCTGATCGGACGGTACGATGGGGGGATGTAATTGCACTATAATCACAATCTGACAGATAGGGGTGGGACTCTGTTCCTGGTACTTGCAGAGGCCCTACGCATTTTAGCATAGTAACCTCTCATCCAGTTCTATATTTATTTTATGGAGTAGTGTATATGAGACTGTTTGATGATTCTGTTTCTCGACTTATCAGAGTTATCAACCAACTCTTTAATCAAACACGTAACCTTTGATTTCGTATGCTGAATTGTGTATTAACAAGAGAAAGCAAGGTTGAAGTTACTTTTCTGTCTATAATGATTGAAATTATCGTGGATGATCATTTTAGCTATTTTTCAATCTAATTTTTTCTTTATTTTAATTATAACTTTTTTTATATTTTCCCTCATGAAACAGTAGAATCAGCCAATACAGCCACCTCAACAAGAAATTCATAAATTTTAGGAAAATAAGTTGATTCAACCGATTTGTGTTACCAAACAGGCTCTATAAGTCACATAACTTGCTTTAGACAAATATAAGATTGTTGCTCTAAATTTTACAAAATCAATATAAGTCGCATACCTCACTTTTTTATTTATTTATGTGTTGATTGAATGGAGTTTTATGTTTCAAGCCTCTAAATAATGTTTAGAAATTACTCCAAATAAGATTAAAACTATGGCAAAAACTCAAAATAGGACTTACTATGTTTTTCTTTTCAAAATAGGACCACATTAGTCCTATTGGAAGCATACCTATTTTTTCATTCCATTCTTACCCTTCCTTTAAATATGAGTTAATTAAATATTTACTTCATAATAAATTCAAAAAAAACGTAGAAAAATAATTAAAAAAATTATAAAAATATTTATAAAATTAAAAATTAAAAAAAATTATTTTTTTTAAATTAATAAAAATAGTAAAAC